CCAAACTGGGGAGGCTGAGCATCCAGGAAGAGAGCCCAAGGGAGGTGGTAGAGGAGCATATGCCAGGCAGAGGTGCCGCCTGAGCAAAGGCTTGGAGGAATAAGAACCTGGTAGGTGGTTCTGTCTGATGGAGTTCAGGGTTAAGTGGCCAGAGATGAAGATAGAGAGGCCAGCAAAGGCCCAGTCATGGAAGAACGTGTATGCTGATGAATTTGGTTTTCATCCTTGAGTCAATAGGGGATTGAATGATATTAATTGAGTGGACTAATAATAATTGAATAATATTAAGCAGTGGATCAGGTGGTCATTTTTGCATATCAGAAAGATTGCCCTGGAAGAAATATGGAGGATGAGTTAGAGGAAATGTAGAGGAGGTGATAGATGTGAGGAGGGGAAGAGGTGAAATCAGAAAGAATGAAGAATTAAGGGCAAGTTCAGGGGGATGCCCAGGTCCGCCAAGGGCACCTGGATGATAGTGGCGCTGTCCACCCGGATGGATGCACGGGGACGTAGGTCATCTCTGGGTGGAGAGGAGATGGCAAATTGACTTTTGGACATATTGAGTGAGGGGTGCATGGGCTATCTCTATCACCATTTCCTTTACTGTCCTGACCACAGCATTTTGTAAGTACCTTCATAAATTTATAAATGCTCAGGGTCCGTGTGCCCATTCCATCTCCCCACTACTTGTGAACTGCAAGTTTCTTGAGCATAGGGATCCATTTACCCCTCATCTCTGTGGTCCCAGGACCTGGCACAATGACTGCTGCCCAACAATAGGTGCTTAATAAGAGTCCATTGAATGGTAGGGCGGGTGCCCCCACAGAGGAATGACTTCAGGCTGTTGCCATCACTGAGTCCTCCTTGGAGTCAGATCCCAAACAAGTAGATGAAATCTACCTGTAAAGGAGTAAAGCGGTGCCCTTTCCTTTCACTGCCATTGTGTGGGGGCCCTGCAGTTTGTACCAGGCAGAATGGGAAGCGGCCAGACCTGGGACATGGAGTCGGGTGGCTGAGAAGCCCAGGACAGGACGGGCTGTGGAGCTGGCTTTGTCCAGACCAGGCCTCCTGGGAGTGGGTGCCCATACCTGGGCTGCTCATCGCAGGTCGATGGGCAGGTGGGGACACTTGAGGTTGGAGGAAGGTGGAGCAGGATGTGGGCTGAGGGGCCAGGAAAGATGGTCCAGGGGCAAGCTGGCCATGTTGGCCATGCCATCTGGCAGGCCCAAGACCTGCTTGAAGTCAGTTCATCCACCTTAAACCACACAAGGCCATTGTTTCCTCCACCCATCAGCAGGATTGGTGATTCAGCTAATAGATCCTGCATTGTCGTCATCAAGGAGGGGCTGTATTCCATGGGCATCAATGCAAGACTTAGCAGGAAGAGTGAAGGCTGCTGGGCGAGGCTGCGAAGTGTTAGCGTGCATGTCCCAGCCCTCACTCTGACCTGGGGCAAGACCAGCTCTGCTGCCAGAGCCCAGTTTTAGGGCATCTCTGTCTTTATCATATTGATCCCAGCCCTTGTGTAGGTGCTTAGGGCTTTTAGTGCTTGGCCTCTGCTCTGCGTCCAGGAATCCAAGCTCAAGCTGCTTCATTGGCATCACAGCGTCTGCACATATCTCACCCCACACTCTCCTCTTCAGGGTCCTCACGGCTGCCCTAGGAGTCAGGCTGGTGATGTACATGTCAGCAGACCCATTTCCCAGATGGGAGAACATGCACAAGCCCAAAGGGAGGAAAGGATGCACTCAAGTTGACCCAACCAGTTGGTCTGGGCTGGGACCTGAGTATGAGCTGGCCCTCTCCTCCCGCCACTCACTTCCATGTTCATTCTCTTCTAACCACAATGAACTCCTTGGTATTTGCTTCCTGAGCATATCAAGCTTGCTTCTGTCCCAGGGCCTTGGCCCTGCAGTTTCTCCTTTTGACAGACCCTTTCCCCAGATCTCCGCAGGGCTCACTCCTTCTTGCTTGCATGATTCAACAGCTGCTTAGGAAGCAGAACCTGCATACTCAGTGGGAAGGCAAACAGGGTCACAGAGAGCTTCTGGATTGCACCGCTGGAAGGTGGGATGTGGAGCAGGAAGCAGTGATCTGATCTCCCTGACCGTTCCAGACTCACCACCTGCCCCTCTCCACTCGCTGACCTCACTTTAGCTGCACTGGCCTCTGTTTTCCTGGATGTGCCAAGCTTCTTCCTGCCTCAGGGCCCTCACACATTCTGTTTCCTCTGTCTGCAACACTGTTCCATTCTGCTACAGCCTGCCCCACGCACTCACCCCTTGGCCTTCTCTGACTTCTCAGATGGATAGATCATTCTCCGATCCTCCCAAAGCACCAAGTGTGTCTCATTTGTGGGACTTAATCCAGTGGTGATGGTAACAGTTCTGCTGCTCATTTGGTAGCAGTCTCCCACTTAATGACAAGCTGCTTGAGGGCAGGAATTTGTCTGACTTATTCTCTGCTATGCCCAAACACATGGAGCTTAGCTGCATATTAATCTCCTGTTGAGTGAATGAATGGATTCTGGACTAATGAATGAGGTTTATTCGGATACACTGACGTTCATAGGGGTGCTGTCCAATAGCAGTTGGATATAGGAGTCAGGCTCATATTTTGGTGGGAGGACAGATTTGAAGTTTGTCATTATGAGTGAATCTAGGAGGTGCTTGTGCGAGGAAAGAGACTTTGGGTAGGGAGGATAGTAGGTGGCCTTGGCGCCCCACAGGCTGCCCTTGATTTTACTCTGAACTTCAAAGAATGCGGAATTCAAGCTTCTTGATCCCTTGAAGCAGCCAGAACCATCAGCAGACATTCCTGCCACATTGATAAAGGTCTAAGGTCCAAAAACAAGGGAGGTGACAAACTCCTTTGTTTCCCCTGTCCCCTTCTCACTCTAACCTGGTTCACAGGCAGACCTGGGAACCAGATGAGAAATGCAGAGAGGCCCAAGAGCTTCCTCAGGCGGAAGGGTGGGGGCAGGCAAAGGGCTGGACCTGCTTAGCCTGGAGGTGCTCACCTAGGGTTCAATACAGGTACAGGAGGTGAGAGACAGAGCTGGGAAGAACCCCCCCACTCCCCGCCCCTCAACCGGCAAGGAGTCTCGGGGAAATGGACCTCTTTTATGAGGAAGGACTCAGTTCAAAGCCATTTAACAATGAAACTGGTAGGTAGTGAGCTACTCATCCCTAAAGGTTGAATGACTTCGTGGTGGGGCTGCTGTAGGAAGGTTTGAGAGAAAGATGGTAGACAGGACCTAGATGACCTTTAAAGTTAACTCCCCACACTTTATGAGATGTTTTTGCTTTAGGGCAGGAAATCATCGTTAAATATTTGCTCTGCCTGACTAAGCAATGGAAGGGTAGCTGCTACCTGCCTCAGAGGCAGGCCTGTGAGTTTCCTGAGGAGGGGCAGGAGGATCTTGAAGCTGAGTCATAGACCTGAGGCTGGGCTTGGCTGCAGATCCGGGGCCTCTATCAGTTTGTAGGGGTGACTGTCTGGCTGCTGCCTAGAGCCCCCAAAGGGGCTATTCTTGAATAAGAATCCTTCTCATTGAGTCATTTAACTTACAACTTGCCTGTAGGCTTGAAATCTTTCAAAATAAAAAGAATTTTAAAAAACATTGAAACTTTGATTCATGTATTTTGGAAAGAGGCTCAGCGTCTGTAGTAATAAATTCTCCCCAGGGAAATTAAATCTGTAGATGGAGCTAAAAATCACTAATCTAAATTAATTGGAGAAATGCATATATAATTCAAATTTTATTATTCTATTTATAAATCAGAAATTCTTTGAAAGCAGATAACCAAATATCTCGTTCATACATATTGTATCAGTATGGGGAGTTTTATTTTTTATTTTTTTTAATTTTAATTTAATTTTTTATTTTTTTAAATATTATTTATTTATTTGAGAGAGAGCAAGAGATAGCACAAGCAGGGAGGAGAAGGAGAAGCAGACTCCCGCTGAGCAAGGAGCCTGATATGGGACTTGATCCCAGGACCCTGGGATCATGACCTGAGCCAAAGGCAGACACTTAACCGACTGAGCCATCCAGGTACCCCTGGGGGAGTTTTATATATTGATTTTTCTTGAAAAGAATCTTGCCTGTATTTAACCCATTAAAATGCAAATGGAATATAATACATGCAAAACATGAGGGCATCTTGTTTTTATTTTAGAAAGACAGAGAGTATGAGGGGTGGGGGGGGGCGGTCAGAGGGAGAGGGAGAGAGAGACAATCTCAAGCAGGCTCCATGCCCAGCGTGGAGACCAACATGGGGCTCAATCTCACGACCCTGAGACCATGACCTGAGCCGAAACCAAGAGTCAGATGCCTAACCAACTGAGCCACCCAGCTGCCCTGAGGGCATCTTTATGTTTTATTTTGCTCCCCGCCCCTCTGTATCAATTGTGCCCTTTCATGGTGGGAAAAGAATGAAAAGAACCATTTACATTTATATTTCCACCTCACTTCATCCTCTGCAAAATGCTCTCCCGTCTGCTGTCCCCACTGTCACTTCCCAGCAGCCCCAGGAAGGAGGGGCTGATCAGGACCTCCACGTGGTGCAGGGGTAAACGGGCCTCAGGAAGGAAAGCGTCTTTGGGGCCGTCGCAGTTGCTTGGTGGCAACAACAAAGGAGCCCATGGCTCCAGCCCCTCTTCTCTGCCTCACTCCCTTCCAGTGGCCACTTTTCTTTTTCTCTTTCCTTCTGATCTGCCTTTCTCTCCTCTTTCTGTCTCTCTGACTTGGTGTCTCTGTTTTTCTCCTTCAGTTTCCCTTTCCCTCGTGCTCCAGCCCTGACTGGCAGCAGCTTTGCAGGCTGTCCAAGCTTTGCCTCACTCTGGAAACCTGCCAGCTCCACAGGCACAGCCCCAGGCCTCCACAAGCTCAGTATCTCTGGTGCCATGGTGCAGATGCTAACTGTGGATGCCGCTCCCAGTCTCCCCATCTGACCCTAGATAAGATAAGGGTGGGGACCAGCCTTATAAACAGGCCCCAGTCGTTCCCCGGGCCCAGGTCCCAGCTGGCTCAGACCACATCAGCCCAGGATCAGCATGGCCGTCTGCCTGTGGGTGGTCGCCCTGGCCGCCCTCCTCATTGTGGACAGAGGTGAGTGGACAGAGCCTGGATTCTCTGTGGCTTGGTGTTGGTAGATGGGCCTGTGGTGAGGGCAGAGACAGGGCCTGGAGCATCCTGTGAGGCCTTGGTTTTCTGCCTATACCTTCTTTCTGTACCTCTCCACTGTGGTGGGAAAAGCCCTGGGCTAGGAGAAAAGAAACCTGGGTTCAAATCCCGACTCTGGCCCCAAATTGCAAAAGCCCCTCCTCTCTTGGGGCCTCTGTTTCTCCAGCCGTAGCATAGGAAGTCCTAGTTCAAAGCTGCTCTAAGCAACTTCTCGGCGAGAGATGTGGGAAGCAGCAGGGAGCAGGTCTATCTCTGGAGAGACAGGTAAGTCTTCTGGCTGCCAGGTGGTGGGTGCTGAAGGAAGCCTGACCTGGGTCCTCTGAGCTCCTGTCTGCTGTGACAGGCGATGCTTACGGGACTGACAGCAGCTGTGTGAGCCAAGGGTAGCCCTTGTCCCGGGCCGGACACATGCTAGGCCTGCTCCCTGCTGCTTCCCACATCTCTCGCCGAGAAGTTGCTTAGAGCAGCTTTGAACTAGGACTTCCTATGCTTCCTTCTCAAGGCCTGGAACACCTCTGTGGCCTCACACTGACCATATATCAGGCATTGTTCTGGGCCCTTAAGACATATCAGTGAGCAAATAGAAAGAGAACTACCCTGATGGAGCTTAAATCCAATGGGGTAGGATGGAAGGGAATAGACAACAAGATAGGTGCAATGTTAGAAGGTGACAAAGGCTAAAGAAAAATATATTGGGCAGGGTGAACAGAGGGCTGCCACGTTAAATCAGGGGTTCTCTCCTAGAGCAAGGCTTGAAGGGGGCAAGGGAGTGAGCCGTGTGGATATCTGGGAGAAGAGGGTTCCAGACAGAGGGGACTGGCAAAGACCCTGAGGCAGGAGCATGGCTGGAGTGTTAGAGGTGCGGTGAGGCCAGTGTGGCTGGATGGGAATGAGAGGCAGGGTGCAGAGCAATGGGACAGGGGATGACAGAGGCAAGTGGGAACTATACTGGGTAAGGCCTTGAAGGCCAATATGAGAACTTGGCTTTCCCTCTGAGCGAAATGGGAGACCCTAAAGAATTTTGAGCAGGGGCGCCTGGGTGGCTCAGCCGGTTAAGCATCTGCCTTCGGCTCAGGTCATGATCCCGGAGTCCTGGGATCAAGCCCCGCATCGGGCTCCCTGCTCTGCGGGAGGCCTGCTTCTCCCTCTCCCACTCCCCGTTTGTGTTCCCTCTCTCACTGTGTCTCTCTCTGTCAAATAAATAAAAAATAAAATCTTTTAAAAAAAAGGAATTTTGAGCAGTTGTGTGTTAAAAGGATCACTCTAGTTGCTGTGTTGAGAACAGACTAAAGGGAGAAGCAGGAAGACTACTTAGGACCCTTCTAGAAGGCCACTAACCTCATGGCGGGTCCCACTCCCATTTCCCTAGCTGAGGACATAGTCCTAAGGGCTGGGGCAACAGAGAATGGGTCTGGGGGCTCTGGCCCAGCTAACCTGCTTACTCCCAGCTTGGCATCCATTCCCTGAGCAGTTGTCCCATTGGGAACACTGAGGAGGCCTGTCCGGAAGACAGTCCTTGTGCCCATTTCAGATTCCCGCCTGGGCTGAGTGAGGACGGGGTTCAAGAGCAGGCTGAGAGTAAATGCAACCTTTTCCCACATCCTCCAGGAAGAAGCTCTGATACCACAGGGTTCTGCACTCCGCCTCCCCACAATGCACTTTAGTCGTCAATTCCTGAACACCCACTATGTGGGGGGCATTGCCACATGGGGGCAGAAGCATAGGAGCCCCAAGGAACTTAGGTCCATGAGAGGCAGGAGTGACCCAGTGAGTGGGGACAGCCTGTGGCGGTATGAAAGAAGCTCCTATGTTTGTGGCCTGAATGCTTGTGGCCCCAAAATTCATATGCTGAAATCCTAATCCCCAAGGTCATGGTATCGGGAGGTGGGACCTTTGGGAGGTGACTAGGTCATAAGGGTACAGCCCTCATGAACAGGATGAGTGCCCTTATAAAAGAGACCCCACAAAGCTCCATTGCCCCTTCGACCATGTGAGGACATAGTAAGTAGGCACCAGCTCTGAAGCAGGGAGAGGGCCCTCACCAGACACCAAATCTGCCAGCACCATGACCTTAGACTTCCCAGCCTCCGGAACTGTGAGAAATCAAGGTTTGTTGTTTCTAAGACACCCAGTTTATGGTCTTTTGTTCTAGCAGCCCAAGTGGACAAAAACTGGAGCCTAAATCCAGGTCTGCTCGGGAAACCCTGGGGGACATCAGGGAAGGCTTCACTGGGAAGTAGCATCTGAGCCTTGAAATGAAGATCTAATCAGCAGAAGGGAGATGAGGACGTTTCAGATAGACGGCAATGCGATAAGCCGAAGCAGAGCCGGCCCTGAAGAATGAGCAGGCAGGAAGAGCAGAGGCACGGGAACATGGGGAGGTGTCCTAGGAAGTGAGTCCAGGAGGAGGTTTTCAATCAGCTCATGCAGGGCCCTAAACGTAAGATAAAGGAGCTTAGCAATTACAAGGAGCCATGGAAGGCCTTTATATTTTTCTAATGTTTTTTTTGTCCCCAACAGTTATGTACCATGAAATAAACAAATCTTATCGCTCAATGAATTTTGACAACGCATGTACCTGTGTAACCCAAACCTCTATCAAGATACGAAACACTGGGATACCTGGGGCACTCTGTCGGTTAAGCATCTGCCTTCGGCTCAGGTCATGGTCCCAGGGTCCTGGGATTGAGCCCCACATCGGGCTCCCTGCTCAGCCGGGAGTTTGCTTCTCCCTCTCCCTCTGCCCCTCCTCGTGCTCTCTCTCTCTCTCTCTCTCTGACAAATAAATAAATAAAATCTTCAAACAAAACAAAACAAAACAAAACCTTTCTGGGGCACCTGGCTGGCTGTCAGTAGAACATGCAACTTTGATCTCAGGATTGTGAGTTCAAGCCCCATGTTGGGTGTGGAGCCTACTTAAAAATTAAAAACCAAACCAAAACAAAAACGTTTCCAACACCCCAGAAACTTCCCTCATGCTGGTCAATCCCCTCCCTTACCCCACTCTCGAGGAAACCACTGCTTTTTTTCCCCCCCACCATAAATTAGTTTGGCCTGTTCTAGAATGTCACACAGAAAGCTGTGTTTATCCCAGGCTGCCCTTGACCTTGGCCCAAGACACCCCTTCCATGTAGTATGTTCCTGGGTAGGGGATGCGACCAGGTAAGGCACTCTGTTCTCTGAGAGTTAATTTCTAGGAAGGGAGTCACTGTGAGTGGCCAATAACTCCCAGCCGCTGAGGAAATGAGCACCCCAGTCCTGCCTGCGGGTGGGATGTGGGGAGCAGCCTGTGGCATCCACCACTGCCTCCTTCCTTCCCCATCACACGACAGTGATAGAGCTGTGAAGGGGAGGTAAGCTCATGTGTTCTCAATGCCTGGTACATACTAACTGAATTATCTTATTATATGGGATATAACAATCCCAGTGTGATCTAATAAGATCAGGCTGCACTGTCACCTCCCTAACTCTAGATTTTGTGTCTCTGTTCTAGCAACCCAAAGTCACATCAGCTTTCTGAGATTCCCCACGGTCTGGTGATTCAATACCTCAATACCTCTCAGAATTCCAGACGGGGCAGTAGCTGGAACAGGTCTCCTGAAACAGCCCTCAGATGCCACACCTGCGCCTAGAGCCGCCATCACCTAACTCTTGCGTTTTTGCCTTTCAGAAGTGCCAGTGTCGGCGGCAAAACTCATCTCCCCAAGGATGGTAAGGCAGCTGCTTCCAGTTTGGGCCCCAAGGTGCTGTCCTGGCCTTCCTTCTGCATCCATGCTAGGAAACCAGCATTTGTCTTCTGTATACTCCCGCTCAAATAACTGATGGCTCCAACGTGGCTAGGGTGGCCTTGTGAGCCTGCATGCTCCCCAGGTTAGCCCTTCCAGGCTGAGTTGGCCCAGCCCCTTTGCCAAGGTCTCAAACTTGGCTTCCAGGACCTCGAGAGATCTGCCCCAACCTGGTCTCCGGTGAAATCCCCTGCCCAGGCTCAGCAGGACTGAGCGCACTCTCTGCTTTGTGTAGTAAAGATGGACAGGCCACTGGGTTCGGGCCAGAGGCACCCTGGCCCCCCTGGTGTGTGCCAGACTTCCCCAACCACACCCCATCGTTCATCTATCCCTTCACTCTGGAGGACAGACACCAAGTTGTCCATGAACCCTGGTTCCACCTTGGCCCTGGGTCTGATGTCCCCAGGGATCCCAAGGCAGTGGTGCTGGCCTTCCTGAGACCCTCAACCCAGCCTTCACCGAGGTGCGCAAGGAGGCTCAAAGCCACCTTCCCGTCTAGCAGCCTAGCATCTTCACTGTCAGCCTATTATTGTGCCAAAGAGCCAAGTACTTCTACATACATGATTTCAATTAACCCTACGTGGGAAGAATACTATTATTCATTTACAGTGTTTGCCGAGGAGGAATCTGAGGCTCCAAGAGTGGAGACGGCTCTCACAACTTCACACAGCTCGTCAGTGCAGAAGTCGGGCTCTCGGTCTTGTGACCGCCGCCCCAGGCTGCCTCTTTCACCCCATCCTGCTCCACGTTCCGATCCCAGCCCTGACCCAGCTTCCACACTGTCCTCAGGCCTGCCCTGAAAACTCTTTCAGACTAGCCTCATTTAAGACCCAAACCTTGTTCCATTTCTCCAGCCTTCCCGTACCAGGGGTCTGATGGGTCATGTCAGCCAGCGTGAGTGGAGGAGCCCTCAGTGAGGAGGGGCCCCTGGGAATGCTGGTGGTTCTGTCTCCTGGGGTCCTCATGGGTACCAGCAGCAGAGGTTCTTGTTAGACCCTCTGAAAAGTGTGTGAACCCATCCTAGGAGCTTGAGGGCATAAACTCACCCGACACACATAGACACAGACGTATACTTGGATGCCCGCAGACTTGGGTTCAGCAGACAGATACACACTTGTGTACACAGCCACAAACATACCAAAGGGCCCTGAGTAGTTAGTTTCATGCCCAATGGACTAACACTGAGACCTTCTAGAATCTGGCTCTTCCCTGGGGCCCTTGACTCCAAGCAAAGTCCCTGGGTCCCTCCTCGCTGCCTCTGAATCTGAGTGCCCTCCCCCCTTCCTCTCTTTCACAGCCCATCTGTGAGCACATGGAGGAGTCTCCTGTCTGTTCCCAGACATCCAACCTGGTCTGTGGCACTGATGGTGTTACGTATAACAGTGAATGTCAGATCTGCTTGATCCGGCTGTAAGTCCACCCCACTCCTACCCCTCAGCTTGCTTGGGTGGGCCCCACCTCTGGTACGTTCAAGTGTGAAAGGAGCAAGACTTGACCTGCCGCTTCCTTCACACACCTTGGACTGAGAAGAGTCCTCCAGCATTGGCCCTAACAGAATGAGCACAAGTATATTTCAAAGAAGGCACATGGTTCCAAGTACAAAGCCACAACTAGTAGGGGGTTGGGGAGGGTGCAGAAACCCTGGGTTCTTTCCCTCGTTCTGCCCCTGACCGACTAGGTGACTTCATTTGTTTATTTATTCCTCCTGCCAGCAATTATTTATTGAGCATCTACTATATGTTAGGCACTGGGAAACAACAGGGCATAAGCTAGACAGCATCCCTGGCCTTCTGGGGGCATATGGTAGTTTAAGGAGGAAGCCAAGCTAATGGTCCACCAACTGTAGCATAGAATGCTCAAGGCTCAGATGGGGGCACCCAGGGTTCTGTGAGTGCAGGGCAAGGACAAGGGCAGGGAAGACTTTCCAGCTCAGCTCTGAAAGATAAGTTGAAATTAGCTTGGAAAAAAAAAGGAAGGAAAGGTAATTCCAAGTAGTGAAATCAGTTTGGAAAGGTCTAAAAGGGAAAGAAATGTTTGTATTTGAGAAAATATAAGAAATTGGATACACTGGAGTATAAAGTTTAAAGACTGAGTGGGGAGAGGCAAGAAACGAGTCTTGAGAGGTGAGAAGGGCCAGAACGTGACCTTGGTATGTCTGATCACCTATTTGATCTCCTTTCTTCATTAATAAAACCCTTGGGCTGGGCCAGAGCTAAATGAGATCATGGAAGAGAAGACAGTCTTCAGAAGCTACAGCACTCTGGACAGAGAGGCAGGAGAGCAACCGGACACTTTCCTAACTTAGCTGGGAGGCAGTGGGGGTCTAGGTGGTTTGTGAGGCAATGATGTCTGGTGGAGGTGTGGCTAGAGTTCAAGACAGAGTCAGGGCTGGAGACGGTTTCAGCAGCCATCAGACAATATCAGACAACCCGGGAAGCTCAGATCACCCAGGGGAGGGTGTGCAAGAGGGAAAAGCTATAGAAGGTGTGCCCAGGGACCCCCAGAACTTGCCCTGTATCTATAGTGGGTGGGGGAGGTGGGGAGAGCTCAGCAGGGTGTCTGGAATAGACTGGGCCAGGCAGGGTCCCTGAAGGGTTTGTTCCAGTCCCTGATAAGATGGGCCTCATCTTTGTCTCCTGTGATCCTAGGAAAACCAAAAAGGACATCCAGATCCTGAAGGATGGCAAATGCTGACCCCCATAGCAGCCTCTTAAGTCATGAAACTTCAGGCTAGAGAACAGTTTTGGAAGTGGAGGATGTGACATGAATAAAAGATCCAGCCCAATTCAGCCAAGTGAGCCATGTCTTTGGGGACTCTGGTGAGGTGGGTGGTGGTGGGTGGATGTGGTGGGGATTTTGTCCTGACCTCCCTACTTTGAATCTGATGTCTTGTCCATCGCTCCAGTGCTCCTCAATCCTGTCACATGCTCCCCTAGAGGTCCTAGGTCTCTTCTGCTTCTTGAAGAGGTCAGCCCCTGTCCCCAGAACACTTGTCTGCCCCAGCCTGTTTGTCAAGAACCTAGGTGACCTCTGTACCCTCTGCCATTGTCAGAGAGCAGGACCCAGCCTTTGGGAGAGTCCTACACCCCTCATGGCCTTCTCCCTGGGTTGTACCAGCGCCCCAAGTCTTACACACGCACACACACTGATACTACTGTAGCTAATATTTAGGTAGTGTACACAGTGTATCTGAACTATTTGTTAAAATACTGACCTAGGTCTGTAACAGTTAAAAACAGCTGCCCCAAGCCTTTGAGTGTCCCCCTGCACCTTGGCCACCCACAGCAGGATGACGTCCAGACCCTGCTCTGTTCTTCTAGTCACCATCCATTCGGACTGTTAATGTTGGCATTGGCCACAACCCCAGGCATACACAGCACACATGTGCCTATACAATGGCGCACAAAAACACACAGCATCTAGAAATCCCACCACAGAGGCCCTAGCCTATGGTCCATGTCAAATAACCCTCTTTTGGCCAAAGCAAATAGAAGGAGCCACTTGATAATGGTGGCAGAGGAAAGGAGTGTGGAGAGGGGCCTGGCCAGGAGAAGCAGAGCCACATGAACTCAGATTCCCGCTTCAGGGTGGGCAGACAGAGCAGGAAATGTACTGTGGGAAAACACACTGGGAAGAAAGATAGGGCGGGGAAGGCAGGAACCAGCATTCCCCAGACAACTGAACCGTGGATGTGGGCGGGAATTGTTGCTGATAGATCTCCAGGTGGAAGGTCATCTATGGGCCCTACTACTTACTGCTACTGGTAACAGAAACTTTTACTCCTCTCCTGCATGGGAATGATGCAGTATTGTTTGGTGGTGAGAAACCCAAATGCCAAAATAACAATGGCTGAAACAGTTCTTTCTCCCACACAGAGACCTATGCAGCACGCTAACTTCATGCTCTTTTTATATTGTAACCCTGCTGTCCTCATCAGTTTCCCCTTCAATGTACAAGACAGCTGCTCTAACTCCAGCCATCATGTCTACATTCCAGTCCACAGAGAGGTAAAGAAGGGCACTCGACTTTGCCTCTGAAGATGCTTCCTATAAGATGTACATACTCTGTTTACATCCCATTGCCTAAAATGTAGTCTCTTGACCATGCTAGCACAAGGAGACTGGGAAAATTGTTATCTGGTTGGCCATGTGTTAAGCTGAAAATTAGTTCACTTATAGGAAAAGAGTGAATACTGGTGATCTCTAAGCCTCTGTCCGAAGTGGGGAGCCCCTCTTACACACAGGTGGCATAGCTTCAGCCAAGCTTCCTGTCGGTGACACTCCCCTCCCAGGCTTCCACCCATGATGAGGAATCCCAAAGATTACACCTGAACAATGTGCCAGGTGCCAGGCACCACTGTAAGAAATACTTAATTCCCCACGTTACAGATGTGGAAACTTGGCCCTGTCTCGGAAACATAACCGTGGGCCCCTAAAGGTCCTATCTATGGCACATGACCCTGCTGCCCTGGCCATTACTGATCGGCCAAAAAATTCTCCCCAGGATTTTCTGAATTGCAAACAAGGAAACAAGCAGTTCCTCTCTGGTAGTGAAGCTGCAAGATGTGTGAAGTGGGGGCTGACAGCCATGTTTCCTACTTTGTGGAAGAAGCAGGATTGAGAGAATGATGCCAGCATACAAAGAAAGAGATACAGAGAGCGATTCAAGGTTGTGTTTGAATTCCTGAAGCCCAGCTGCCCTCGAACATCCCAAGGCTACATGGGATAACTTGACATCCTGCCAATAAATTTTCTTTCTTTCTTTCCTTTTTTTAAAAAAAGATTTATTTATTTTAGAGAGTGTGCAAGTGGGGGGAGGGGCAGAGGGAGAGAGAATCTCAAGCAGACTCCCTGATGAGTACGGAGTCTCATGCAGGACTCAATCTCACGACCCGAGATCATGACCTGAGCCAAAACCAAGAGTTGGATGCTTCACTGACTGAGCCACCCAGGCACCCCAATAAATTTTCTATTTCAACAATCTCTTTGGAATTCGGTTTCTGGTGATTTCAGTTAAAACAGCTCTGACTACCAAAGGAAGAAGGGCATCTCAGAGAAGATAACCTTAATGCTGAGTCTTAAAGGATAAGTAGAAATCGTTGACTAAACAATGTGTGGGAGAATTCTTCCAGCCCTGTGAGGCTGAAGGATGTTTACAGGATCACAGAGCCCCATCGGCTCCCCTTATAGCAGGACTGGCCATGTCCCAGGAAAGTGGGCAGCGAGGAGTGTTCTCTACCTGTTCACAGGCAGGGACACCCCGTGGATGTGCAGATCTGGGGGGGGGGGAAAGGGGGGCTGTGCACACATGCCCAGTTGTCCGCGCTGTAGGGCCTCTCTTCTCCACCCTCAAATCAAACAATGGTTGTTGACGCTGTAAATTCCAGTGCTGACGGAGTGCAGCTGTCGGAATTTCATTGTAGATGTGTGCGATCGACATTCATTCATTCTCCAAATATTTATTGAGCACCTATTATAAATAGACAATGTGCTTGAAATATGCTGTTACAAGACAAAGAAGCCCCTTAACCCAAGAAATTTAGAGTCTAGGGTTAGAGGTAAATATTAATCAAATAATCCCACAAATCACTCATGGCTGATCATGCTATTTATCATAAAGAAAAGTTATGGCAAATTGTGAAAGGATATCACCTGGCGGCGGGGGGTTGATGTGTTCTCTGACAGTAGATAAGGTTTCTCCATGAAGAGACATTTGAGTTAGGTTCAAGGGATGAACAGGAGTTACTACCTAGGAAAGGGGTGGGGTAGGGGTCGGGGAGAGATGGTGAGGAGCTGTCCAAACAGAGGAATAGCATATGCAGAGACCCGAAGCAGGAGAAGGCACAGAGCATCTGGAATCCCAGCGTGTGGAACAGCACACAGCAAACAGGCCAGTAGCCGGGATGAAAGGGAGAGCACTGAAGGAAAGGACTCTGGCCTTTATGCTCAGGCGACTGACATGCTAAGACCTGCACTTTATGACCACCCCACCTGCTCTGTAGAGAAACTGCTCTGCAGAAGGCCAGATGGGAAGTGGAGACCAACAAGGGGGAGGGAGACGGATGAGAGCAAGCGAGCCCATGCTGTGGGGAGGCAGTAAGTGAAGAGTGGGGGCTCTGAATCAAACCACCTAGCTTTGTATCCTGGCTTTGCCACTTAGGACCTTGAGAAATTACCCAAGCTCTCTGCTTCCTCACCTCTAACATGGGGACAGTATCTGTCTGTCTCCTAGAATGTCTGAGGATTAAATGACTAATACACCTGAAGAACTCAGAACAGTACCCAGCACACAGGGACTTCTCATTACATGTTTTGGCACAACACCACACAGCTACCATACAAAAACTATCATATAAATACTGAACTGCTGATTCAAGTGGGAAGTGGGCCAGGCTAGGCTGAGCCTCATCCATGTGTCCACCCCTGTCCTAGGTCACATCCACACGGGCCTCAATTCCTGGGGCTTCAGTGACTCTCTCTGCCAAATACGGTCGGCCTCAGAGTGGCCTATTGGAAGCCTGTCTCCTGGGCACTGTGTGAAAAAATGGGGTGACAGCAGTTGACCCGGTTATGAGTTCTAGCATACAGGGCCACTCTTGATTGTATTCAACACAAATTACAGCTAGAACCACGGAAGGCTTTTGCTTCTCATATTTCATCAAAAAAAGTTTAAACATTCTTTTGCTTGTGGACGTATACATAAACTTTTTTAAAAAAATAACAGTGGAAGGGGCCACAAAACAAATAGGAACAGCCTTGAAGGAAACACTGACCTCAGAAGGGTACAATGAACAGAAATGCCTTTGAGGAACGCCTTAGAAGTTTATGGTTGCCTTTACCACCCACCTCCCCGTGGTTCCTCTCTCTGTCCCCCCACGCTGTACTTGTGACCTGGTTTCAAGCAGAGATTCAGTCATCACTAGGTTGTAACCTTCTAAAGATTTACTTGAGGACAACGAAGTCCATGCATCAATACGAGCCCCACCCCAGGAATGGGCCTCTGAGATCTCATGGCCTGTGGCTGGGCAGGGTCACTGGGAGGTGAGGTCAGGGTCTGTGAACCAATCACCCAGACACCTGTTCCAGAATTCAGTTACAACAAGGGATACGTGGACTACCCTGTGTGCCAAACACCTGTTCTGAGCCACTCCCGACATTCCTGACTAGCTGTAACCTCTTGGTGCTTCTGGGTTACACTGACAGGCTATAGAATCACAAGGGCAAAAAGGCCTCATGAATCTGAAGACAGGGGTGGCCTACAAACCCAGAATTACTCCAACACTAATGAGAGGTCTCACCAGCCCAGGGAAAGTACCCCAAGGTCGAAAGAGCTGGGAAGATGGGCAGGGGAGGCCCTCTCCAGACAGGGTGGGCTGCTGGACGGCAGAGCCGCACGGAGACAGAATGAGAAAACAGACAGGAGTTCCACTGCGGACTGCAGACAACACTTGTTCACGGAGAACAGGGGGAGCGCAGGAAAACTGGCAAGTGGCCAATTGTCCCCAGCAGCCCTGGAGGAATCAGGTCACTTCAGTCCCAGAGAGGACAGAACTTGGGGGCGCTGTTCTTCAGGGCAGCCCCGCCTCTCTCCGCCTCACCTCACTCGGCCAGGGCCAAGTTCGTGGACTGTAGCCGCTCTGTCTCCTGGCAGATGTTCTGCTCCACCGTGTCACACTCAGCTAGGAATGCCTAAAACAGGAATGCAGGGCAGTGAGGGACCATCTGGGGCCAGCCACTCCCTGCCCATGCAAGGCTCTTTGCTCAGCCATTATGGGGAACCCACGGGTGACCAACTCAAAACGGGCTGTGGAGGGATGGAGCCAGCCTGGGCTCCCAGGTAAAGGGGAGGGAGGCAGAGGGCAGCGTAGGACCAGGCTTTCTGACAACAAGACCCCAGAAGCGTGGTGAGAACAGGAAGCCTTGCCACTGTACTGCACAAGTTCAGGGAACAGTGTTCACAGGAGTAGTGCCTCCTGGAATTGTGTAATATGGCCATCATAACTGTTCTCTAGTGGTCTTCCTCCTCAATGAGCTTACATTCAAATATAATTACAGGGGCATGAAAGGAGCTCTTCTCTTATGTTCTGGGTTCAGGAAATAACAACCAAAAGAAAGTCCACATCACACATCACACCTCTAGCCTACCCTACCCTGCACACATAAACACACGCACCAACACATTAAACTTTGGAATGCTTCACCACACAACTCACCTGAACCCTTTTCACCAAACCCTTCCTTTTCAGTCTACTGTCTTTGAAATTTTCTGGCAGAATCTGTGGAAGAATAAGTTGACAAATAATCTCAATAAAAGTGACATAACAACACGACAAAATACCCATAGTACACCAAAGTGAATGAGACGTGCATGTTCAGGAATGTATCCTTGATCTGTATCCTACGTGGCCCTTCCCAGGGCTCTCACCCCTACAAAAGCTCCCTTTGTTCTCAGTGTCTGCACCATGGAAACTGATCTGTAACATGGACTCTGTCCTTTCTCTATTTCCTATGTACAGATACTATATCCTGGCCATGCCATGAGCTCACTGTGCTTCTTTACAACTACCCTCACTCCCCCCGAATCCCAGGCAGAGTAATTCACCCTCAAAAATGAGGCATTGGGGCGCCTGGGTGGCTCAGTTGTTAAGCGTCTGCCTTCGGCTCAGGTCATGATGCCACGGTCCTGGGATCGAGCCCCATGTCGGGCTCCCTGCTCAGCAGAAAGCCTGCTTCTCCCTCTCCCACTCCCCCTGCTTGTATTCCCTCTCTCACTGTGTCTCTCTCTGTCAAATGAATAAATAAAATCTTAAAAAAAAAAAAATGAGGCATCAGGGCACCTGAGTGGTTCAGTCATTAAGCACCTGCCTTTGGCTCAGGTCGTGACCCCAGGGTCCTGGGATGGAGTCCCACATGGGGCTCCCTGCTCAGCAGGGAGTCTGCTTCTCCCCCCACCCCTGCTCGTGTTCCCTCTCTCTCAAAAATCAATAAATAAAATCTTAAAAAAAAAAATGAGGCAGCCAGCTAGAAATATCATTACTGTCATTCTGTAAAAGAGAACGTGGAAGTCGAGATTCTCAACAGTCTCACAAGAGCTGGGTCTGACTGACTTCTGTACAGGTAATGAGCCCAGTAATAATCAGATAATCAGTCACATGAGTATCATGAAGCCCTGTGTTTCTCTAACCATAAAATCACGGTCCATTTGGGTCCCAACTTTGTGAGGATTAGATGCTTTTAGCATACATAAATAAAAATGACAAAAGCCCTATGTTGGTATGATGTGAGTGCCTAAAAATCCAGAACTATCTTGTCTTTCCGTGTATCCACCAAGGACCGAGCACTGTCTGGCACACAGCAGGCACTCAATATGCTCAGACAATAAGAGTGCATTACTGAAAGAGTGAAACTGACTGAAACATAGTCAAAGAAAACTAGTTCTTCTCGGCTGAATATTTACTTACCAGTGTGTCAATCTCTTCCAAGATCTTCATAAATTGCTCAATTGTGGCTTTTACCCTCCTATCGAGTTTACAGAGAGCTTCAGCTTGCAAATCCTTGGCCAGGAAACCCTGTGCAGGAATAATGCATTATTGCAAGGGTTCCTTAAGGCTGACAGAAAACTCCAGGCTGAGGCACTGATGAAGCAGCCACACCCTAAGCCCACATTCCCCCAATAGGTTGGGCCAGACCTCAGACCCACAACTTCATCTCTTGGAGAAAAGAGAGCCACCCCATGCACTGTAATAGGCTGCAGGCCTCTCTAGCTCACATGGCCCACTGGGGCTGCTAATGCCTCCTGGGGCCTGGCTCTGGTGAAGCCTCCAGTCACCAGAGTATACCCACACACAAGAAGCATACGTTAAGAACGCAGGGTGTAGAGTCCAATAGGCCCAAGCTTGAATTCTGACTGCCATTTACTGGCTTGTGATCTTAAGCAAGTTACTTAATTTATCTGAACCTTAATGTCCTCATTTTTAAAACGGAGATTATGATACCCACACCCCAGAGGGTTACTATGAGGATAAAGAAGAACATAAGTAGACTCTTAATATAATTCCTGACACAGACATGCGCTAACAAATGGCAGCATTTACACTGTTTTTATTAAATTGTCTTGTTGTTTATTCACATTGCTTGGCCTAGAGACCAGTTAGCTGGTGACAATGGGTGGACAGCTGGGATCTCTGAGGATGTTTATCAAAGATGTAGATTTGACCACATGTAGTAAAAGCTTTAAACATTAGCCAGCAATTCCAAGTCAAAGAATTTATTCTACCCCAAAAAAATGATCAGAAATGGTCAAAAAAGATTTATATCCAAGGATGTTCAGAGAAGCATTAATGCATAATGGTAAAATATCATTAGATGATAAATAATAGAAAATTAGTTACATAAACCATAATACTATGTAAGTTTTGAAAATTATGATCATTTTTTTAAAAGATTTTATTTATTTGGGGCGCCTGGGTGGCTCAGTCATTAGGCGTCTGCCTTTGGCTCAGGTCGTGATCCCAGGGTCCTGGGACTGAGCCCCACATCGGGCTCCCTGCTCCGAGGGAAGCCTGCTTCTCCCTCTCCCACTCCCCCTGCTTGTGTTCCCTCTCTCACTGTGTCTCTCTCTGTCAAATAAATAAAGAAAATCTTAAAAAATATATTTTATTTATTTGACAGAGAGAGTGAGTGAGCATGAGCAGGGGAAGGGGCAGAGGGAGAAGCACACTCCCCATTGAACAGGGAGCCTGATGCAGGGGACCCCTGGGTCATGACCTGAGCCAAAGGCAGACATTTAACCAACTGAGCCACACAAGTGCCCCAAGTATGATCATTTTTAATGACATAGGAAAATGTTCAGTTTGATTATCCTATAAAAGGACAATTTACAAAGTGTACACAACACTGTATCTTTTTTAAGATGCAAAAACATATTCCAGTCTTTAGTATTGGTTAGCTTTTGAGTCAGGGCCTTATAGGTGTTAGTGCCCATATGTTTACCTAAAATTTATACAATTGGCATGTATTACTTTTGTAATTAAAACAGAAACCTGGGGCGCCTGGGTGGCTCAGTCGGTTAAGGGGCCGCCTTTGGCTTGGGTCATGATCCCGGGTCCTGGGATCGAGCCCCACAGCGGGCTTCCTGCTCGGCGGGGAGCCTGCTTCTCCCTCTCCCTCTGCCTGCCTCTCTGCCTACTTGTGCTCTCTCTCTGTCAAATCAATAAATAAAATCATAAAAAAAAACAGAAACCTACATCTATTAACGTTATAAACTGAGAAGGGAAAAAAATAGGTGGTTTGGGGCTAGTTCACAATCCTCAGCATTTTTTTGTTTTTGTTTTTTTAAAGATTTCATCTATACATTTGCAGAGAGAGAGAGAGAGAGAGCACAAGCAGGAGGAGGGGCAGGCAGGGAAAGAGAGAAGAAGGCTCCCGACTTAGCAAGGAGCCCGATATGGGGCTCGAGCCTAGGACCCCAGGATCATGACCCGAGCTGAAGGCAGCCACTCAATGGACTGAGCCACCCAGGCGCCCTCTTACCTAGTTTTAGTACTCCTTCTCTAATACAAGGAATTGACTAGGATGACCCTCTGCTAAGATCAAGCTTAACTTGGACCTTTTATGCATCAACAAAATGTTCTTTGTCTTGCTAAACACATTATAACAGCTGGGCCTGAGAGAAACTACCTGTTCTATTTCAGACAATACATGACCCTGGCATGGCAGGTGCTCTCCTAGGAGCACAAACGGATGCTGGCTGGGGTTTGAAAATGGCAATGACGATAACACTTATAAAGCACTTAATATGCATCAGATTCAAACTACATCATTTGTTTTTAGTTTGTTTTTTTTAAGTAAGCTCTATGCCCAATGTGAGGCTTGAACTCACGACTCTGAGATCAAGAGTCACGTGCTCTACCGACTGAGCCACCCAGGTGCCCCTCAAACTGCATCATTTAATCCTCACACCAACCCTAAGAGGAAGTACCATCATTTTTCCCTTTTTACAGATGAGGAACTTGAGACAAGGCAAACTTGCCCACAGTAATAGAAAGGGTAAAGCCAAGATGTGACCAGGGAATCGGACTAGAGAGCCTGCCCTCACAACCACACATTTGTATCTCCCCAAAGAGAGTGACCTGTTGGATTCCAGTAAGCTCTTTATTCAACTCTTCCAGTTGATCAGCTATCTTCTCCACAGATTTCTCCAAATCTTTCAACTTCTTTAGTTCAACCTCTTCCTCTGGACTGTTCTAAAATGTTTAAGAATGAAATGAAGTCAATAATCACCAAGAACAGTAGCTTCTGACTGGAAAGAAAAAAAATCTGACCACAACTGGGCTAAACCACTCACCTAGAAAAAACAGCCTTAACTCTGCTGCTTCTTGGAAAGCAAGCTGGAGGGTTACACATGGTTTTCTACCTACAAAGACTCTAGACTAGAGAGAAGATACTAAGTAAACATTCTGCAAGGACCCAGACAGCTTGGGAGCCAATCTAAGTGCAGAGTCAACCTGAGCCTGGGGCTGACTCCAGACTGAAGCCTCCAGGGGGAACAGATGACGGTAAACACCCGCAAGGAGTCCAGAATGGTGAGACAGGTGGAATTCTACCATTCTCTTAAATGAATTCCTAAGTGTCACCCACAACTGAGCTCTCCCATTTATTAAGATGATGACAATGATGAATACTTTTGTTGAGCATTCTCTCCACTACACTAAACCCACTTTATCTGGACTATTATTTTAAGCCTTACTACAACCCAGTGAGGAAGGTAGTGTTCTAGATGATGAAATTGAGGTTTAATGTAAAGTAACCTAAGGTCACACAGCCTAAAAGAGGTGGAACGGAGACTTGAATCAGACTTGGCTTCACACATCCCAGGGCAGCTCCAATAAGGGGTTCTATAATTTCTTCAAACTCAACCCTTAGGTTCTGCCCATTGCCCAGAACTATTCTCCCTGAACCTTAAGAAAGAAATTTAGAATATTTCCCCTTCTCTCATCTAAACAACAGGTAGTCAGGGCCAGCAGTTTCCTGCCTTTATACTACCCAAAATTGTTCACACACTTCTTTGTGGCCAAATCCTGATTGCCTGACTCCCGGTTGTTCTGCGGCTGGACTAGATCTTCTTTGCCTCCACGTTGCTCATCTTTGCCCTCTCTCCACTCTGAATAAGCCACCTCACCCAAAATAAGGAAACTTCCTATAACCAACAATTTCACTGTGTCACAATGCAGGGCTGGCCATAACCCTCTCTCATCACCCCAGGGGCTACTGTCCTCACCAACTGGCTCTTTTCCTCCCTCGGTTCTTTTTTTTTTTAAGATTTTATTTATTTATTTGACAAAGAGAGAGACAGCAAGAGAGAGGGAACACAAGCAGGGGGAGTGGGAGAGGAGAAGCAGGCTTCCTACCGAGCAGGGAGCCTGATGCGGGGCTTGATCCCAGGACCCTGGGATCGTGACCCAAGCCGAAGGCAGACACTTAACCAACTGAGCCTCCGGGGCCCCCTTCCTCCCTTGGTTCTTTAGTCTGAACCTTTCTTTTGAGCCAAAGAGGGCTTTCCCTTGTGGAAGATTTTAGTGGAAAAGGTGTTTAAAGGGAGACAGACTCATGAAATTTGCAGAGGACTTATTTTAAAAATCTACAGACTTATTTTAACAAAAGTTTCTCTTGCAAATCCCCTCCAAGTGAGTAAGGCCTGACTCAGGCACCATTTTAACCAGATTGAGATCCACCACCAACACAAGAGCTACATTATTGAAGTAGCATAACTGTTCATAATTCCCAGAGCAAAAGTCATAACCCACAGGAGCTGGAGGGCATGAGAATAACAAACCTGGCAAGCCCATCAAATAAATGGAACTACATCTGTTTGGAGAGAGCTATTTCACTAATGTAGAATCTAGGTTCCCAATTTGGCCTTCTAAATGGAAATATATATAGAAGACCTTAGTCATTTGATTCTGGGGTATTCCGGTAGAAAAAGCAATTTACCTTTTTCCCAATTAACATGACTCGGCAACCATTCTGTATTCCGAGTGCTGACAATGGCTTCTCCATTTCCTTCAGAGATTTTCCTGAAAAGAGAAGTTATGCCAAGTGGTAACAACTGTACAACACTGAAAATAGATTTCAGCAAGGTTACAGGAAATAGACAAGCGTGTTCACTAATGAGAAGAGGATAAATTGGCATAACCTTTTCCAAAGGTGTCTTGATCCAGTAATTTCATTTTGGATTTTATCCCAAACAAACAACTGGATATATGCCTGCACAGTAAGTGTTATAAAATAATCTTCAATGCAACCTTAATCATAATAGTGAGAAACTAGAAAGAGACAAACATTTAGGAACAGGGGTCTAATTAACTATACATCAGTACAATAGAAGATTTCGTAGGCATTAAAGCTAATTTTTTCAGGAAATTTCAATGCCACAATAAATGCTGAGGGCTCAGTTTTATAAGAAAAATGTTATAAAAACTGTATAGTCAATATAATCTCAGTTTCATCAACTAAACACACACACACACACACACACACACACACACACACACACACACAAATAAAAACCCACTTCAGGATGCCTATACAGATGGATAGAAATATGCTGAAATGTAACGAGGGATTTTATCCAGGAGAACATTTTCTTCTTTGTGCTTTCCTCTATTTTGAAACATGGACTTCTACTGCCTTTTATAATTCCATAATAAAATAGTTTTTTTTTTTTTTAAGGATTTTATTTACCTATTTGACAGAGAGAGACACAGCAAGAGAGGGAACACAAGCAGGGGGAGCGGGAGAGGGAGAAGCAGGCTTCCTTCGGAGCAGGGAGCCCGATGCGGGGCTGGATCCCAGGATCCTGGGATCATAACCTAACCCGAAGGCAGACGCTTAACGACTGAGCCACCCAGGCGCCCCCATAATAAAATAGTTTTAAAAAGAAAACACAAGGAGTTGCTCTATGACGTATAAATAAAAAATGCTTCCCATCACTAAATTCTTTTTTTTTTTAAGATTTTATTTATTTGAGAGGGATAGAGCATGAGGGGCAGAGGGATAGAGAAAGAGGGGCAGAGGGAGAGGGAGAAGCAGGCTCCCCACTGAGCAGGGAGCCCAGACACAGGGCTCAATCCCAGCACCCTGGGGCCATGATGTGAGCCGAAGGCAGACGCTTAACCGACTGAGCCACCCAGGCGCCCCCCCTTCACTAAATCCTTTATGACTGGCATCAAATGGGATAAATTTGGCCCCATCAGATACCACGATAATGAGTTCCCATGGGAATGGGAAGAAAGAATGGGGATAGAAAGGCGGTGGGTCCTAGCAGAAATCAGCATCATCCACTGGGCTTGCCACAACCAGGCCCCTGGTAAGTTTGTTCAACATCTCTGTGTCAGCACTATGCTGAGCATTAGACACAGCAGTATCTTCCCTCAAAGAGTTAGTTATTCTAACAGAGAAATCAGAAGTTCAGCAACTATGAAAACAATTATTTAATAGTAATTTCAATACAAGTTATGCAGAAGTGTTAGGGAGTGCGATCTGTACATATGATGGGAAGAGGATCTAAACTAACTTTGCCAGGGAAGACTACCCATGTGTTTTCACCACAAATGGTAAGACTGCTGCCATCCTCACGGGACTTGGACTCTAATACCTGTCCAAGTGTTTGAAAGTGTCCTATAGGGGCGCCTGGGTGGCTCAGTCATTAAGCGTCTGCCTTCGGCTTGGGTCATGATCCCAGGGTGCTGGGATCGAGCCCCGCATTGGGCTCCCTGCTTGGCGGGAAGCCTGCTTCTCCCTCTCCCACTCACCATGCTTGTGTTCCCTCTCTTGCTGTGTCTCTCTCTGTCAAATAAATAAATAAAATCTTCAAAAAAAAAGTGTTCTGTACGTAGTAGGTTCTCAATAAAATGTACTGAAGGAATGGATGAATAAACAAGCAAATAAAAATTATCCCAGTTCAAAAACTAAGAGTTATCATTAGGTAAGGTTAAGTAGTTTTAAACAGTCTCTTTAGCCATAAGGACTCAAAGCTGGAAGAGAAATGCCTACCCTTAAATATAAGTTTCTGAAAAGGCAGTGGGACTCCTGTGGCCTCTTCAACAACCTGGGCCAGGTCTTGGACAACTGGCTCACTATAGCCCTGCTGCGGGGTAACATGAAGATCATGCTTCTCATTGCCTGGGGAGAGAGAAGAGTGTTCAATGAAGAAAATTCTTTCACATAAACTAATACAGGCTGACACTTTATTATATTTATTTACCCAGCCTTCAAGGCCCAGTTCATTTGTCACTTACTCCGAACAGCCTGTCCCCCCCATCTTCCCAGCTTTGTCTGGTGACCTGTTGGAGGATTTTTGTTTCCTCTATAATAATAACTAACATTAGTGATATCAGCTAGCATTTTAAGCACTTAATCTGCATAAAGGACTGCTGAGGCTCAGAACAACCCCAGGAAGTAGGTACTACCTATATTAATCCCCGTTTCACAGATGAGCAAACTACGTTCAGTCCAGTTATGACCTGCCTATGGAGACTCAACTGAGGAGTCAGAACTTGACTTCAGCTCTGATTCCTAAGACCATGCTTTTCATCAGAAGCCATCTGCTTCCTGTGGCCTAACTGCCCTGTACTCTGTAATGTTCTTGTCTCCTTTGCTGTCATGAGTAAGGGATTATTTTTTCCTCCAAGTCTGTCCCACTGGGCACGCCTGGGCACATACATGGTTGGTGCTCAGTAAATAGACAACGAGTGAGTAAACTCACACAGCAAAAAACTTCTTTTTGAACCCGAAGTGTCAATTCTTTAACAGGTATGTGGACAGTAAGGAGATAGCCCATGCCCAGTGCTTATGCCAAGCCTTGAGCCTGCACAAGAGCCACATGAAGTTAGTGGGACAGGTGCTACCAACTCTACTTCACAGGGATGAAACCAGAAGCCTAGAAAGGAGACATCCCAAGGTTACTCAAAACTGAAGGATCTAGAATACTGGTCTTGAGATTCTGAGGCCCTGGGGTCTCCCCTAGTCCTGAAGAGACTTTATAGGCTCAGCTCTTGAGAGGACTGACTTTGTTTAGATTGATGTCAACTCCAACAGTAGACAGACCCAAAGGGTGCCCAGAGCGTATGCTTGGAGCCACAGCCCACTCAAACAACGGACATGAGTTTAGGCTCGGCACACACATAGGTGTCCAGACACACAGCAGTCATAGGCGACACAGCCAAATACCATCCTGATACAAAGACCCACAATAACTACGCAGACACACACTAACACATACAACCAGGACGACGACATGAAGCACGGACATCGAGGATAAAACAAATGGCCTGAGTCAAAATACACTGGCCACTGGAAAGGTGTGCTGATACAAGATCCGAACAAAAGCCGGTCCCAAACACAAACAAGACCCTACACTTCCGGACGTCCAGGACCAACACAATAACACCTGCTTTTGGAGGACACGTGGCCAAACCCACAGACCCCCGCTGGGACTCTGGTAGCCCCCTCACCGCGCCCACCCGGTCCGAGCCCACCCGGTTGTCCGAGCTCACTGTGGGTGACGGTCACGATGAGCCCGGCTGCCGCCATTTCCTCGCTCTGGACCACCTCTTCGCTCCGAGCCACCTCTTCGCTCCGAGCCACCTCTTCGCTCCGGGCCACCTCTTCGCTCTGGGCCACCTCTTCGCTCCGAGCCACCTCTTCGTTCCGGGCCACCTCTTCGCTCCGGGCCGAGCGAGGCTGCACTTTCTTTACCCGCGGCCTGCGAGCGCCGGCGGCGGCGCCCCTGGTGGATCTGGCATGCCCGCTGGCCGCACTCCTGACGGATGATCGCTGAGAGGGAGGCGGGCCGCGCTCGGCCTGGGGCACCGACTGGCGCGTCTCCCGGCCCGGCCGAGGGCCGCGCCGCCGGGGACCCAGCCGCCCCCGGTCGCCTCGCGGTCTCCGCGCGCCACCGCGCTCCGCCAGACCCGCGCTTGCTGACCACCCAGCGGTGGGCGCTGCGCTCCGCGCTTTGCAGCCCAGCCAGGCTACTTCCCCGCCCCTCCCCGCCCCTCCCGGCCCCGGCCCACCCCGGCCGCCCCGCCCACCCGGCCCCGCCCCTCAGAGCAGGCCTGGCTCTGGCCCCGCTGTATTCCGCCGAAGCCGCCCCGGCCCCACCCACTCAACCGAGGCCCCGCCCCACTCACTGGAACCCCGCCCCACGCCCTTCACCGAGGCCACGCCCCTGCTGACGGTCCGCCGCCTCCAACCTCCCGGAGCTCTCCTTCCCCGGAAGGTCGCGCTGAAAATCCGGAAAAAGGGTCGGGAAACTCCAATAGGCACATTGCGCTTGCGCGGGGGGGCCGGAAGTGAAGGAGGAGGCGGAGGTGGCTCTGCTTCCGTTTCTAGTCCTGCTCCAGTGTTTGGGTTTTCTTCGTGGCCGCCCAAGATGAACCGATTCTTCGGGAAAGCGAAACCCAAGGCTCCGCCGCCCAGCCTGACTGACTGCATTGGCACGGTGGGCACTTGACCACGCATAACTAGACTCAGGGACTCTGACACTCCCGACCCCGCCCACCTCGGCTCCAGGCTCCTACTCCTCCATTCCATTCTCGGTTCCGGACACCTCGGCCTTCTCCACCTCATCTTCGTTCCTGTTACCCAGGTCATTCCTGACGCCACAAACCAGGGACCCGCTAACACTACTTGCACCCAACCCCTTCTGAGGCCTGCTGCCGTGTTTACTCGCTCTTTCCGTCTCCTGCCCCAACCGGCCATAGGCCCACATCCTTTCCATTTCGGTCCAGCCCGACCCTTTTCCTCTCTTTTATTCTTCATCCCTCTCCCACATCAGGATCCTCAACTTGATATCCTAGGTCAACATATACGTACCCCAATCCTGGATCTAAGTAACAGGAAATTCAGAACTCTGGCCCCTCACATTAAGGCATCACCCCCTATCTAAACGAATAGCATTAGATTTACAGCCCTAGCCCATTTCACACACCTGGTTGAGCCCCCCAGTCTGACTAGTCTCTGATTGTAGGAGAATGTCAACTCAGCCCATTTCCCAAATTCTTTTCTGCTCAAGCACACTTGAAAGGGGCCCTAGAATATGAGAATCTGAGGGGTGGAGTATAGTTTATAAAAGCCTCCCAGTGTTTCTGACTAGTAATCTCCCCCTGGTTGGGAACCACTTTCCCACCCTTCTTTCCTCTCCTGCCCCTTCTCTTGTAAGTGTATTGTCCTAACTATGTCTGTTTTCTCAAGGTGGACAGCAGGGCAGAATCCATTGACAAGAAGATTTCTCGACTGGATGCTGAGCTCGTGAAGTATAAGGATCAGATCAAGAAGATGAGAGAGGGTCCTGCCAAGGTAAGGTAGGCAGCAGCTGCAGAACATGCTGCGACAGCCTAATTTGAGCACCTATGGAAGTAGGGCCCAGTAGTAGTCTGGTAAGGAGAAAACATGTGAGGGTGTATCCTTCAGGGAGGAGGATTTGCAGCTTGATATGAGAGGAAGGCTGGGGTTTAGTCTGGTGGAGAGAAGATGCTGACGACTGGTCCAGAAGCATGTACAGGGGAATTAATACATTCTACTGAGAAGGTGGCAGTCTCAGAACAGCATCTAGAGACCAGCATTCTATTAATAACATCATCACTACCTACTAGCCGTGACTGTCATAAAGTCACTTAATACCTTATTTTCCTCTTCTATTAGGTAGAAACAGAGATTACCATATTTAAGTGCATGAACTGTGGATATAGAACTACCTTCTTTTTTCCCCATCTCTGTAACTTATTAACTATTTGAACTAAGTTACTTAGCACCACTGAACCTCAGTTTCCCTATCTGTAAAATGGGGATAACACCTACTTTATAGTATGAGGATTAAATGAGGTAATTCATGTGACCTCCCTAGCACTGTGTCTGGTACATAGAAACATTCATAAATAATAAATGTTAGATATTATCATCTGTGAGTAATATCTGCTTTTCCTTCTTCATTGGAGGAGACAAATAATGATTTATGGAACAGTATGGAAAGGGCAGTGACAAGAGGCTTTTTCTCAGCCATCTTAGTTGGATGGCATGGAATGAAGAATGACCAGAGGCAGGAAAGCTCATCTAGACTTGAGATGAAAGCCTAAACCATGGTGGCAGTCAGGAAAATGACAGGAAAATCAGTTTGCAAGTGAGTTCTGAAAATCAGTAACGAGATGACTGCATGAAGAGACAAAAAGGAAATGTAAGGTTGATATAAAGGTTCTTAACCAAGTGAGAGATTGGTGGGACCATTGTTAATAATATTGGTGAGATTTTGGGCCTGTTGAGTTTGAGTGGATAGCAAGAAGTCCAAGTTGGGAATCTCCCTAAGGCAACTGGATGTACAAATAGGCACTATTGTGGGTGGCCATGGAGAGACAATGCACTAAAGAGAATGCAGTTCAGTACCCTGAGATGTGGGGTGCAAAGACAGAGACGAGCTGAGGCTTAAAGACTATGCTTAGGAGGTGAAAAAGAGTCCAGGAGCCACTCTGTCTATGACTTTGAAGAAGAAAATAGATATGTAAGTCTGAGATACAGGAGATTTCTTTTACTATATGTGTGTTTTCTACTTCTTTTAATTAAAATCTGTTTTTTTCTCTAGAATATGGTCAAACAGAAAGCCTTGAGGGTTTTAAAGCAAAAGCGGATGTAAGTTATAAGTGTAACCTCCTTTCCTCCAGCAGGTTTAACTGAAAGGGAAATGGTCTTACATTCTTCAGTTTTTCATACTATTTTATAAGCATTCTTGATTTAGTTGCAAATTTCATTTACATATCCGGTGAGCTGGGTTTTTCTCCCCCTGCATGTTCAGCACTATCTGTTGCAGCACTGTCCATCTAAACAGAACTTTTTGCTATGATAAAGATGTTCTATATCTATGTTGTTCAGTACAGTAGCTCTTAGCCACGTGTGGCTCTTGAGCACTTGAAAAGTGTTTAATTTTTAACAATTAAGTAGCCATATGTGGCTAGTGGCTTCTGTATTGGACTGCCCAGATCTATAGGTTCTCCCATTATTTATTTGATTAGAGTATGCCTTTTTGTTTGTAAAATTGAGAATCCTGAATACCTGTTCCCTCCCAGCCAGAATAGATTTAAGGGTCCTTAATTTATTTTAGGTGACTATGTCTCAGTGTTTGAGCAGAAGCCAAATAGCATCTTTGGTGCTTACCCCTGTGGGCTGTCCAGCTGATGAGACCTTCTGCAGGGTTGTAGAGGTCAGATGTAAGCAGCTTATAAGGAACCAGAAATGTTGTTGATATCTCTATTTTTATTTTTGAAGTGTCTTTTTATCAACATAAACAACGAGTCATGGAACACTACATCAAAAACTAATGATGTACGGGGCGCCTGGGTGGCTCAGATGGTTGGGCGTCTGCCTTCGGCTCAGGTCATGATCCCAGGGTCCTGGGATCGAGCCCCGCATCAGGCTCCCTGCTCAGCGGGGAGCCTGCTTCTCCCTCTGCTTCTCTCTCTCTCTCTCTCTCTCTCTCTCTCTCTGTCTCTCATGAATAAATAAATAAAATCTTTAAAAAAAAAAACGATGTATGGTGATTAACATAACTAAAAAATTTAAAAAATAAAATGTCTTTGTATCAGATACCACCTTCCTCCTTTTAAATTAGACAAAATTGGAAAAAAATGATAATGGTGAGAGCATGGTAAAACTGTTCCTTATTAGTAGGTAGCACTGCAGTTTTTAAGTAATTTTTTTTTAACAAAAGGAATGTATATTCATCATAGACGCTAGGAAAATACATAAACTTGAACAGAAGAAAAGAACATTTACCTAGATTCCTACTACCAGAAATAACCATTTTTAGAATGCTGATTTCTTAGTTTCTTTTCTCTGGTTGTGCATGCATGGAATCTGTGCATATAGCTTTTTAGAAGAAAAATTGTATTGTGTAAATACAGGTTGTCCCTTTCCACTTCACATTATATCATGAGCATTTTCTCTCCTTTTATACATTTTTTTCCTTTTATACATTCTTTGGAAACTTTAATGGGGTGGTGATAATTCTACCACCATTTGCCTACACCATCAATTGACCAATTTTCTTCTGGTTGGATAGTTAGATGGTTTCCAAATATTGTATAAAGACCATAGGGACATAAGTCTTTGAGGTAGTATTATACTTTGATATAAAACTTTATTTAAAAAAACATTTTGGAGGGCACCTGGGTGGCTCAGTCGCTAAGCGTCTGCCTTCGGCTCAGGTCATGATCTCAGGGTCCTGGGATCGAGCCCCGCATTGGGCTCCCTGCTCAGCGGGAAGCCTGCCTCTCCCTCTCCCACTCCCCCTGCTTGTGTTCCCTCTCTCACTGTCTCTCTCTCTGTCAAATAAATAAATAAAATCTTTAAAAAAAAATTTTGAGCACCAGGTATTACATCAGGCCAGGTGAATTACTTAATTATGGATATAAGATTAATAAAAAATAATACCTATCCTCAAGAAGTTCAGTCTACTGGAAAACCAGTTTAGTTATATGTATGAAGAGCCTTAAAAATCATCCTACCCTTTGCCCCAAGAATTCTGTTTTTGGGGATTTATCATAGGAAATCATTTGAAACATCATAAAGACATATTAAGAGTATGTAGTAACATAGAAAACAGCAAAGGCTATAATCTTAAGTGGAAAATAGTCTCATAACTAAGATACAAAGACAAAAGACTGGAGGAGTACATCAGATGATATTTGTATTAGAGGGATTATACTGCTTTTGCCAGTTTTTCTGTGTATTTAATTTTTTAAAGAAAATTCCTATTTGGGGCGCCTGGGTGGCTCAGTTGGTTAAGCGACTGCCTTCGGCTCAGGTCATGATCCTGGAGTCCCGGGATCGAGTCCCACATTGGGCTTCCTGCTCAGCAGGGAGTCTGCTTCTCCCTCTGACCCTCTTCCCTCTCGTGCTTTCTATCTCTCATTCTCTCTCTCTCAAATAAATAAATAAATAAAATCTTTAAAAAAAAATTCC